TCTTTTCTTTTCTTTCTTAAAGTGAACTATCCCAAAGTTTAAACACACCAAAGCACAAAGCACTTCAGTTTTACCTTAAGGGAAATTCAACCAAGTTAACCTCAGGCAGCGTTTGCCTTTGTTGTGTTTTATTCAAGACGGTTTATATGCAAGAGCTACTCAGTTTTTATTTTAAAAAGAAAAAAAAAACCTAGCTTCTTGGAAGCTACCTAAATAAAATAATTCATGCGTTTAGTTGTGGTTCATGTCATATATTCAGAACTTTCATAATCTTCAAGTCTCCCCATTAAAAGCTCTTTTAATTGGTCAAAACCAACAGCTAATAATTAGACCAGGAGAAACGAAATCCTCTTCTCAGACAAATGTGTGCAAATCCCATTTACTTCAATGGAAATGGCTCACAGGTGTGATACTTTAGACTCCAGCCACTTGCAACTTGGCAGGAATTCAGTGTCTGGATCCCAACTTCTTGTCTCCTCTTCCAGAGGCACAGGTAATGCCAAAGAAATCTGATCCAGGTTTCTCCACAGGGCCCTCAGCAAACATTTTAATCACCCATTCTTTTCTCCATCACAACAACTCTCAAGGCTAAATCTGAACTTTCAGTCCCAAACATTATAGGTTTGCTTCCAGCCTAGCAGAAGGGGGCTCTGCCACCAGCTATATTAAATCCAGCAACAGAGCCTGTGTTTTACAGACTTCAATCCTATGTCAGCAAAATCTTCTGTATGGCATCAAATTCGAAGAATTCAGGCATTTTACAGCTCAGGAGTAATGCAATAATTCTACTGCCATACTGTTTGCCCTTCCAACACATTTATTTGTGATTCACAAAGTGAACAGCAGGTCACTGGCAAAAATGGATAGGCACAGAGAAATCGGAAACTGTATCTAGAGAGCCACAGAAAGAGTGAAACAACATCAGTTAATTTGTGAATGGAAGGAAAACCTTACAGTTTGACAATACTTTCTCTCTTCCTTCATTTTTGTTTTGGGTTTTTTTCAAGATACTGATACAATAAAAACTTATTTACACTCCATGTAAGACTGTATCATAAAACAACTATTGCTCTGCCTGTTTAGAAACATTGAAAGTGTCACTATGAGCCCAACCGTGGGTTAGCCTGCATACAAATAAACATGTGGTTTGTCAGCAGTGAATTCTCTAATTCAAACATTAAATTGGTATTTTAATTTAATCTGGGTTCAGTGCAGCATGAAAGCAAAGACACTCAGGTGTGGTGAAATTTCTTGGGTCCCTCCACACCTTCCAGGTGATGACAGCTATTGCTTTAATGACTTGTCCGTAACAACCAGTCACAATGTTAGTGACAGCATGTTACTAGCAGTTACTTTAAATGATAGATGTTACCACTTTTCTGCTCTTTGTGACTCACACTATACCCTAGTCAGAATATTTTAGGAGCTGAATGCGCAGTGCTAGGTCAAAATGCTGAAGATTGTGGAGCCACTGGTTGAGGTGCAAAATTAGATGTGTCATTTGAGGAATATTAAGTCAAAAAGAATCCATGATAAGGAACTGTCATGGATTAAAAATTAAAGTTCATCCTTTTAACTATTTCACAAAAGGGGAATTTTTTGGGCTGCTTTGCTCTTTCACATATCTGAACTGTGCACTCTGAAAATAAGCCTTTGATGTTAACATCTTATAAACAACTCTTCCAATGAGATAGAGATTAAGAAAATACACTTTGATCCAGTTTTAGAACAACACAGATCATGTTTACATCCATACATGTGGACAAGCTTCCCTGAGCAGACTCAAGTGGAGGAAAGTATCCTCAGAGGAACAACACCATAGGGAAAATAATCACCTGTGACTTCTAACTGTGGACAGATGTACTACACTGTGTAAGGTCTAGAAACATAAACATTGTAAAAAGGAAAACAGCAAAAATTTCTTGTAGAAAATGAAAAGTGAAGATTATATTGCCCTGTGTTTAGCAGCAGGTACCTGACCAATTTAACCAACCAGACTATGACCCAAGTCCTGTACAACATGGATTACACGTGGGCTTTTTAATTACATAAAGTCAGAACAGGTTAGAGATAAAACAGCAGCAATTTATTAAGATGTATCAGCAATAATCAGTAGCCGATCACATAAAAATAGGGTTTGTAATTGTGAATTTACCTTAGGATGAAATATCTTCAGGAGATTTGTAATCCCTTTATCTAGGCCAAAAAGAATTCTCCAAGTGTGAGCAAAGAGCATTCTTAACTGAAAGTTTTCCAGTTCGTTCCCAAGAATTCAAAAAAACTTTTCCTCAAACCGTGAATTGATTCATAGCCCTGAGAAGCTGTTAGACCACCTACCTTCAGCATCATCCTGCAGGTCCTCAGGCTGCTCTTCTTTGCTCTTTATGGGAGATGGAGGCTGGCCTTCTTTAAACATAAAAAATCATAAATTACATGTCTTATTTGGAAATGGTTTCATTGTATCAGATATTACCATGCATGACACCACAACTGCATGTTTTATCTTTCAGTACTCAATGCTTATCTTTCTGTTATTTAAATTAACTTAAATTCACTAATGAAATGTATGAATTTTCTGAAATTTATAATACATATTTGTCTTTCAGCCTGAACTGGACTTTCTCAGGACAAAAGTGAAGAAAGCTCATACTGAAATAAGATACTGCTTCACAAGTACTAAAGAAACAATAATCATAACCCTCAAACAAATAATGTTTTAATTTATAGTTGTAAACATAATATTTATTATACTTCATTATGGAACTGTGGAGAAATAATCTGAACGAAATCGTTTTTTTTCTCTCAGCTCAATTCTCCATTCACTGTTTTAACATAACAACCTATGAATATAGATTGAAATTAATAATTAAATGAAAGGTAGAGAAACAAATTTGATAGTGAAGTTAAGGAAATTAAAGCTTTACAAGACAGAAATGTTCAGGGTGAAAAAGAATCCATTCCAGCCCTTCAGACAGTAGGCAACATCAAGCTGGAGGAAAGGGAGTAAAAGAAGTAATTGAAGCCAATTAAATGTGAGATCTCCCTTACTTAGAGGGACTGAAGCACACAGTGTTTAGTACCACTTGGTTCAACTTTAAATATTATGAACGTTTTCTACAGTATTTTTAAAATATCCTGTCATCTTAACATAAATGATGACATTACTATTTGTTTGCTATGACACACCTCAAGGCACAAACTGGTAGCAGAGAAAGCCTGTTAATAAAAAGGGAGGCCAAGCTGGAAATTAGGCATAAAAGGTATTCATAAATTAAGACACTCCATGCTTGCAGGTTCCCTAATTAAAACATTCTTTAAACATTGCTGCTTAACCACGAAAGCACTGACTGACAGACAATTAAAACTCAATTCATTGCGCCTACTGAATGTGCTCAACCACGATGTGAAAATGACTTTCTGTCATTTGACTTTCTGTCAAACCTCCGGATTCCTTGTGCCTAACTGAGGGCTGGGCTGCAGGAGAAGCCTAAAGAAAACATATTTTTGTGTGTACTGGCAATAAACCTTGACCACTTGTAACCAGGAAATTCAGGAAGACATATGACCTCACATGGTTGACCCTTATTGCTGTTCCATTAGAAAGTAAGAATCATGGTATTACGTCAAACTGATTAGCTAATTAACAACTGGAGAAAAAAATATCTACACATGTTTTATAAATTGCTTTAGTGTTTCATAAATTCCCAGGGTCTCTCCTGCTGTCACATACATGCCACACAATCATCTACTCTTCATGTTGCTGGAGTTTTAAACAGCTCTTGACAATCGGATGTCCAGCTATCACGAAGGACTTCACTCTGCTAAGAGCTGTAGATTCTCCCCTTTTATCTTCTACCCTTCCACAACTACATATATATAGAATCAAAATGCTGAAAATTTTGGAACAGGAGGTATGAAAGCAGTCAGGATGTGAAAAAGGAACTTGCAGATTCAAGGAGTAGTTGGACAGCTCAAAATGCCAGCAAAAATTCCAAAATGGAGATCTGTATGTGAGAAGTTAAATTCTATCTCGCTTTCTTAATTTTAATGAAAGAGCATTATATAAAAGAAAAAAAAAACCAAACTGAACATTGGTCTTATAAATTTCTACTAGAAGGGAATGTACACTTTCTTCTAGAACTACATACTGCCACAGAGCATGAAGAGCCCTTAGCAATCAGTAAATAAAGCCAGTTACTGCAAAGCAGAACAAGCCTTGAGGTTTGGCTTGGTACCAGGTGGTAGATTGTTCCTGGAGAGCACTTAATACAGGACATGTCATGTGTCATGTCATCATGTTTGCTCATCTGAATTTGAAATTCAGACACAGTGTTTTGAGGAAAACAAGAGTTTTCAAGTGCTAAGATGAATTTCTTTCTGGAGTGAAGAAGGCAGGAGCAACCACAAGAAAATCCATGGGGAAAAGTAAAGGCAAAACCTGCCAAATAAAGACATGCTTTGTCAAACCTTTGAGGGGCTCAGGAGCACTGCTGATAGAATTCAGCAAGAACTGTATTACAAAAGAGAGATCTTGAAAATAAACAGACTTGTGAAGACTTATTCACTTATGCTCTCATGCTCTCACTTTCTTTTGAAAAATAACTTGAATATTTATAGTGGACCTTATCAACATGTGGCTTTTTTGATTCAAGTGCCACTCTACCTGAACTACCTGCTAAGTTTTCTTTTTTGTTTGAGAATAATTCACATTAGGGGACTGAATCAATAGGGTTGTTTCAATCAACACTTGGCCTCTACTGAGGAATTTTATCATCTAATCAATCTGCAAAGTTTCCTCCAGTCCCACACATCAAATGTCAATCAAGTTAAAGTGCAAATGTCCAGCCAGGTCTTTCAGGACTATCTGAATACATTAGATAATATAACCAACATTTTAACTGACAGCCCAAAGATGGAGAGGGAGGAGGTGCACATTCACAGAAGTCAGAACTGTTGCTATCTCAGAAGAAACCACCTTTTTGCACTCTTTATATAAAGAGCCTTCAAAATGCTCACAAAAGGATGTAAAGGCAGGGTCTCAAGAGAACAAGATTTCAATCACAATTTTGCTATTTTTTAGCAGATATCCCTGATTCCAGAGACAGAAAAGGATCTGTGTTTACCATGGCCAAAATATGACTCTTAACCCTTTCTGCTCTCCAGCAGTGTGTATATCCTTCCAGTTAGCCAAATATTACACAAATTTTGTCTGCAAATTTCTTTTTAAAAAGAGCACACCTGGACAGGTGTCTGAACTAATCATATTAAAAGCTTTTCTAATTGTGATCATTTGCACAGAAAGGTTTCTGAGCACTACTGGGAGACATATTTCTTCTTTATAGGCTAATTCAGAGGGTCAACAAGTATTTAAATCTCACCATCTGTCTCCAAGTAACTATTTCCAAAATCTTTCACAACTCCCAAATCTGCCTTCTTGCAAGAGATTACTATTTTCATCTCAGGAAAAAAGACAAAGTCTCTCTCCAAAAAAATAATCTCCAAATGTAAGGGTGTGCATACAGTGGAACATGCAAAAAAGTTCTATATTTTTGTATCTTGATTGTAATAGGGTATTATTAGTTATTAAGCCCTGTTAGTGTGAATGAGATTCTTCATCTTCTTGTTTTAACTGGCTGTGGCTTCTAAGTAATGAATAGGTGATTAATTAGGAGGATCAGACTAGAAAGAGGATAACCAGCAGGGCATTTATTAGGAACAACTACTTGATGGGAAATGACAGTAGTGTGGCAACAGACATAAAGATGAGGTCAAAAGGCTTTGGTACCTGGCAGAGACTGAAGCTGAACAGGTTGAGGGAGAATATAGAGATTCAGACTCAGAAGTGAGTTTTTTCTGAGTGTTTCTTCTTTTTTTTTTTTTATGGCAATGGTAAGAGAATTGACTTATGTCAGCACATAATAATGTTATTATGTGCTGACATAAGTCAATTCTCTTACTATTAGGAAAAAAAAAAAGGGAAATGAAAACACTCAGGAAAGACTAACTACTGGGTCATCTGGTCCTTGTCTTGGGTTATGTAGGAAATCATTCACAAAATAAAGCTGAGATGTAGACCTGCACAGGCCTGGGCCTGCTATTTCTGTATCTGCCCTTGTGACTCAAACCCTTCTAACACCAACTGCATGACACATGATAACCCCAAAGTACTTCAAATTAAGTGGTGCTGTTAAGCCAGGAACTGCTACAAGACTCAGCAATCGGAATGACAGACTGATGGGTTAAAAGCCTGTGAGTAAAATGCCATTAGAAGAGTGGGTTTGAGTGTGTACATTTAACAAGGATAGATTATTTTTAAATGCTTTTTCTTATTCTAGTACGTCCAATATAAGCAGTGATGTTATGTGATAAACTCGCCAAAATGGTCATCCCATACCCATTTTTGTTTCTGTTTTTGTTTTGTGTCTGGTGTGGTCACTGCCTCTCTCCCCTCTCCCTCCCCAGCCCTGGAGTATTGCAGTGGGTGACAGCCAGCCTGGGATTTCCTCTGAGAGCTGGGGGAAGGACAGCTGCTCCCATAGGGTGATTAAATCTCCAGGCCACATGGCACAATCCCTCTGACAAGAAATACTTGTTGCCATGTGGTTTTTGCCTGTTGTTTTTTGGGTTTTTTTTTTCTTTTCCTTTGGCACTGTGACTGGAACTTACTGGTTTGCTTCTCTGTTTCTCTGCTGCTGCTTGGGAGCTCAGAGCGAGTGTGTGCAGTGCCAGGACCCAAGAGCACCCCAGCCCCTGCTGGGGTACACCCCTGTGTGCAGCCCAGCCCCTGTCTTTGCCTGAAAGTCCCTTAGTTTCCAAGTTATAATATTTTGGAGTGAAGGGGATCACATTTTCCGTTCCAAGGGAGGTTCCCGCCTTCCTTGGCAGACACCTGTTCTTTAAACCAGGACACAGATGTAATTAGGATATTCTCTTCTTTATTTTGAGGATTTATCAAAGAAAGAAAGGCCTTTCTGCATGTAATGAGATGTTTGCACTTCAGGGTGGTAGAAATACAGGATAGATTACTTTCATAATGTATCCATCACTCAGTAATACACCCATTTGGTAATCTGTTATTTCTTGCTCCCAGTTAATTTTATGTCTATTCCTAAAGCCTAATCTGGTGTACATTGAAGCCAATGGACATATTCCCACGCCTTCAGCAGACACCAAACCAGGATCAGGGGTTTTTTTTTTCCTCTAATTTTTGCCACCAGATTTAAACTAGGACAGATTCTGCAACCTCCACCTCACCATCCTACCACATTCTTCAAAGGGTGATTGGTAGAGACACAATAAGCCCACAGTTCATTTGTGTCCTGTGTTTTCTCTTGGTCTGATATTGGCCCTCAGAAACACCCAGCCAAAAGGAAGCTGAGGCAAAAGAACTTAGGTAAATTTAGATTTTAATCTTTGCCAAAGGTCCTTTGCATGTCTAGTCTGCAACATGTGCTCTCTAGGAATCCAACCTCTCTATTTTACTTTGAGCAAAAGAATTGGAGGAAATACCCCAAAGCAGATTGGATATGGACAGCTCAAGGAAAAAGGGTCATCAATATTGGTGCCAACTGTTGACTCCATCTGTGCAGTATTGACCCATGAAGTCAAGTGGAATGAAGAATGATTGTTCAATTAATATCTTGAAGTGGTGACTAGAAGTTACTTCTCTGTTTTCCCCTTTGAAGAGATATCCTCCAAAGTGATAAAAATTTGAGTATAAAAATGAAAACTCCCCTCAATGCAAAAATTATGTTTGTATTTATAGCTCCAGTAAACACATCCTACAATCATTAAAACTCCACACAGAAATAGGTCAAAAGGGAATAACTTTTGTATATCTGCTACACTACTGGGGTGGATATACAAAAGGTACTTATTTTTAGCCTGTAGGTATTGATGGTTTACAGCCAATGCACTGATTCCCAAAATATCTCCAACTGACAAAGAAATAACCAAGGATGTGCTGCTGAAGCTCACAGCATCCTAGAGCTGTGAGGTCAGCTCTGCTCTGATCTATCTCATGTGCATGAAAGAAAGACAGGTAGGGAAATATATTCCTCAAATTACATAATTCAGTGATAATTTCCCAGACAATTTCCCCTTCCTATGTAGCTTTACCTAACGTAATGAAGCTGTGAAGGATACAAAAAAAAAAATGAAGAGATTGGCTATTAAGTAGAATTGCACTTCCTTTTAATTCTAATTTTAAAAAAAGCCACACCAATTTAATTTGCATAATCTACATAAAAACAAGACCAAAAAAAAAAAAAAAGAAAAATAATTTGGCTTCTAAAAATACATATGCCATGATAAATATAAAAAATTAAATTAGAAATGTTAGATACACACTGCAAATTTAACTGCAGTATTATCTTTGGCAAATGTTTGTTATATAATGACAGGCTTTTTTTTTTTTTTTTTTACTTTTATGTATGTTCATACAACTATATCAATCACACTACCTGTATTAAAATTCGTAAAAGTTCTTATCCAGTAATCTTGACTCCAAAATGTAATTACAATGATATGTAATAAAATTAACAGGCCAGAATCAACAGCGATAAAAGAATGTGCTAACCCATCAGTATAACACATATATATCTGTGTATTATCTGTGTTTTCTCACCTATGTGTATGCACCATTCTTCAAGTATTTCTAATTTCTCAGGTAATTAAGTGCATAAATGACCACAATCCTTTTGTCTTTAGGACAATCCTGACAATTTAAGCAGTCAAGATACTGCTTCAAAAGCTTTTAGCTCTGTTTTCTGGCTGGTATATCCCTGCCTCTCCCCATGGGGCACTCCTTCCTGACCCCGGATGTTCATAAGGAGAGCTGGATGCTCCTGCACAGTCACTGGAGCATGATGGGATCAGGATCACATAATATTGGGATATTGGGGTAGCTGGTTTGGAAGGAGACGCAGAGGAGCACAGGGAGCTACTTTGCACATAAAAAGAGATGCACTGCACAGAAATCCATATGGAGCAGGAGATGTTCACTGAGAACTTCCAGGTGAGTACTTTTCCAGCAGGGAAAGTATCAGAAGGTGCTGTGGTAGAAGTCTGTTACAGAAAAATCTGATCAAGATTAACTGGATGAAACTTTATCGAAAAAACTAGCAGAAATCTCCTGAATGGAAGCTTTTGTCCTCACGGGAGTTATCTAATCCCCTGTCCTCTCCTTTTCTTGTTCTTCTGGCCTTTCTTCTCTTTATACCTATTCATCATTTCCATTTCATGTCATCCACAAACCCTGAACAGTGCCATTTGTTTTGTGGAAGAGTTTTGCTGCTGTTTGCATTGTGAACATACCACTGCCACTATTCAGAATAGCACATGACTCAAGAATTGCTCTAGTCACACTTTTTTACAAAGAGACTGAAGAATTGTTATTATTTCCCCTTCATGTTCAAACTAGCTATCGATAAAAGGCAATGAATTATTTCCCAGAGGCTTATAAGATGATGATATTAAAAAAAGTAGTCTCAGCTTGTCTCTTACCATGCACTATTTATTATCAGGGATAGTTCACCCTAATTTTGTGTAAAAACCAGAGATGATTGCTGTAACATTGGCAATAATGATTAGCACTGCTTATCTCGACTAAGGCAATTATTCTCTATAATTTTTTTTCAGTTTGGCTTATGCTTCAGAGAAGTGATATACTTCAGTATAAAATATTCTTTACTCACCTCTCTCTTGACTCACTTGAGCCCCCTCTTCACTAGCATCACCTGTCAAAAAAAAAATTGAAAGAAAATGGTTACTGGGAATACCAGCAAACATCTAAAATGAAATATTCAGTGTTTCAAATTACTCATATATTAGTTTGCTTCCTCCAGTTTAACATTTTGCAGTGAAATCTGGAGCTGGATCGGGAGGAAGCTCTAGATACTGGTTACTACCAGATACAGGTAATGCAGGGAATAAAGACAGGGAATGAAAGCCTGTGTAATTTACAAAAATTCTGCAAATAAAGAGCGAGCTACAGGCTGTGCCCAACCCCTTCCCCCAGCCCAAATTCTCACAGTAACTCCAGTCTTCCCAAGAGAAAACCCCCAGGTAAGGGAGTAGCAGCCAGCTGCACCCTGCTACATCCTTGGTCTCTCTTAAATACCAGTCCTTATTGTTTCTTAGCAACAAATGGGGGGAAAATTCCCCAAGCCAAAGAAAACAAAAGGAAAAAATCCTAAGCCCCAACATACAACCTTAAGGAGCTTTGACAAGTAATTTTTAGGATAAGAAAATTAAAAATACTGTTAAACCCCATGGGGATTCTGTCATTGGCTTCAACAGAGCCAGGATTTTCAACTGGAGTTCTGCTATTCTTCAAAAAACTGCTCAGAAAACATTTGGAAACATAGAGATTATTAATTATCCTGTTTCCAATAACATGTTCTTTCCATGGAAGCATTTATAATGAAACCAGCATGATAAGGTTTCAAATTAATCTAAGATATGAGACTAAATCAGCAGAATCTTAACATACATATATCACCTGGTCTTCTGTGAAAGTTCTTAATTATAGTTCTGTAAGTGACTTGGAATATGAAATTCCCAAAGCAACAGAATAGTTTCTAAGCTAGTGATAATGGACACAGACAAGAAATCTGATGTTATTAAAAGCAGGGAAGTCATTATGCAATGTAATTATGAAGAGGCAAAGACTGCTTTTGTGAACTAATTGTGAATTAAAGGCTGTTTTGGTTTTTTTTCTGGGAAAAAGTACCGAAGGCTTGCTGAAAGGCAATGAAGTCTCTACATCATTTCTTAAAATGGAAGTTGGGCTCCCAATAATTTAGTGACACGATCTCTGAATCATTATGGTGCCTTTGAAAAATTTACCCCAATCTAGGTATGAATCTGAGTTTCACTTTGGCACACAGCAATCCCCAGCCACTTCACGTGTCTGTAATTATTACTCTCACACTATTAATCCATCTGGTGGAAGCATTTCCCTGTTAAATAGAAAACATTCTCATTCACTGACCTTGGTGTGGCTGGCTGAAGTGATAAACACCATGTTTAGCTCACAGAGCTCTATGCCAAAACCAATTATTTGGAGATAAAAACCAGTGATTTAGAAGTCTATATCCACAAGGTATTCACTTACCCCCTGAAAAAAATGATATTAAGGGCAGTTTCTTGGTTACTGGTTCTGAGTAAGTAAAAATATTTTTTTACTGAAGCTCTACATGCCTAGTATAAAGCAAAATCAGTGCCAAGATTACCATAAATTAGATTTATTATACCTAGCTTTGCTTTTCTTTTGTTTGTTTGCTTTTTAAATTTTTTTCCCTATACAATTTCTTACCCCATCTAGAGGAAGTCTTTGAAAGGTTTGTTTTGGTTTGAAATATGTACCACAGACAGCCAATCCCAAAGCCAAATTGGATAAAACCACAGAAGAACCTTAGAGTGAATCTTTGACAGCAGCAAACATTTCCTTAAATACATATTGTCAATATTTCTTGTCCAAACTCCCCCACTGGAAAGACCAGAGGTGAGATCCTCTGTACCTCTCACCCTCCCTTGAGAGCTGCTGAAAAATAATTGACTAGCAGAACTTGACTAGTGTGTGGACACATCTGCCCACACTTGGTTGCTCCCCTGGCTGCAGAAGCAGAACAATGACCTTTCACATTGTTTTCCCGTTAAAGCCCTGGATTTTCGGAAGTTCTACCAAGATGACTTTGCTAGAAAAGGAATGACTGACCTGGCAGTCTGGAGAGAGAGGAAAACTAACAGTGACTACCAGAAAGGGTCAGCTCATCCCCAGGAAAAGCCACATCAGTATATAGAAGGCTTGGGAGACAAGAAGACCTTCTAATCCAAAAACGTGTGCAAAATTTTCCAGTTTATAAATTGAGGTACACTACATAAGATTAAAGTATTAAATGGGTGATGTGCGGGAGAAGTTCCCACTCAAGTACAAAATCATTTACAGTTGAAAGTGAACCTATGATTGAAAATCTCCCTCTAACTCCCAGCCTATCCAGGGTAACTATATCTCTGAAGATCAGAGAGCTTTACATTTGGGAGCAAGGTGCTCAAAGCAAAAGCTTTTGTGTAAGCCACAGGCTCCCTGCTGAGGTCATGCACTAAGTGATGCCTGTGGCTCTTTCATTGCCCTCTCCCATGTTATCTGCTGAGCTTTGGGAAATGGAATAATTACACCATATCTGCTCTTACTGACACAGGAGAAGGGGATGCCTTCTGTCAGATCCTTTTGTTTTGCCTTTTGCCTTGCTGGTCAGGTTGTTTTCCTGCCTCCTAAGTTGTGGCATACAAACAAAACCAAGCCAGATGGTTAAAACCATCAATCTGTGTTAAGATTTATGTTAGGAACAGAGACGTGAAAGGCTTTAAATACCGCCACTAATCCCCAAAGCCATTAAACCACCTCCCCCTTGCTGCTCACGCTTCCATTTGCATTCTTCCTTCACGTTTGCATGTGGAAAGCCAGCACTGTACAAACACTGAGCATTGGGAAGCCCTTACATGAGAGCCGCAGGAGGCTGCTGCTTCATCTGCCTTCAGGTCCTGCATCCTGGGCTGCTGGCACTCCCCAACACCACTGCATGCTGCTGGTTCCTCCCTGCCTCCCTCTAATCCTTCCTCAGCTGCCTAATTGCATCCTTCAGGATTTTTTTATTTTTACTCAGCATTTTCTGCAGTTTCCTGATTTCCAGATGTTTCCCTATTTCTAGTCAACCTACGTGTCTCAGTCTGCTTCTCCTTGCAAGTGTGGCTCCACGTCCTGACCACAACCAGGGGAGAACTGGGAAGGCACTCTGGGAATGGATAAAAATCCCCTCTGCAGCTTGTATGAACATTCCCCTCTGCCAAACAGAACAATGAGATGGGCAGAACTGTACAGGAGACTGAAATGACAAATCGGTCATCATAGTGTTGATGCCTTAAAATAAAAGCTCAAACCAAAATACCCCCCCCAAAAAAAAAATTTCAGCACTGAAAGCTTCAGCCATCCTCTTGAGCTTATTTGCAGTGCAAGAATAGAGGTCTGGCTCAAAAAGTTTCTACTGTCAAGCATTTCCCTAGCATATATTCCATGATCTGCCTGTACTATTCCACTGGGATTACAAAGGAGGAGCAGCTCAGCAGTCTCACAGCTTTGAAGAAAATGGATCCCATTTCGGGTCAGTCTTGAAAAACCTTTTGTATCCAGTCTCAGAGCAGCCAGCAGTGTTGACAAGGTTATCCACCTGAGGCAAACCACCTAAACGATCAGGATTCCAGCAGCTGAAAAGGCCAAGCAGGTTCTCACCGTCCACATTTCTCTCTCACACACCTTTCTTTCCAAAATTTTATCCCAAGGCTTCAACCATCCTACTACATGACCACCTTCACAGCCTTAGGGAGATTTATAATTGTATTTTGTAGATATTTACAATACCTAATAACTGAGAAATCACTTCTTTTAGAGGTTTACACCACTGCTGATACCCAAAAGGAGCTTCACGACAGTGTATAGGCTTTATGTCCACCTCAGCATAAGAATCAATGTTGCTGTAGCACTGTGAGCCACACAGGAAGGTTTCTTGAAGCCCAAACACACATATGAGGCTGGCAATAACCCAAAATCTCCCAAGCTCTTTTGGTTGTTTAGATTCCTCCAACTCAGTTCTCCACTGGGAAAATGTGACAGAAAATAGCACAAAAAAGGGTAATACTTTCTTTGAGGAAAAGCAGGTTTGGAAATCTCTGGCAGATGAGATCATCTAAAACAGATCTGACTCTTCTCTCCTAGTAAAAAGTTATATTTTCTATAAAACTTTTCCTCATCCTCAGTGCTCCTAAGATGAAGGAAAAAAAAAAAAAAGATAAACCAAAAAGATTTCTAATAAAAAAAAAGTGCATTCTTCTGATTTGGAAGTAAAAATAGGACTTCTTTTTGTCCTATTTCTATCCTTTCATCATGCAATCCTGCATACAGAGCATACTACACAAACCTCCACCTGGTTTCTGAACAAGTTTCATTAAATTTTTTTGTCCAATTATAAAGAAACTTCCATGGATACACTCTGTACATCCTGGCCATGCTGCCGCAGTAGTGCCAGTTTCCTTCCTGTGTTGCTTAGTTACACCAGTCTCACAATACTGGAGCCTCACAGAATGTAGGATGCATTCGTAGCTTTTGAAGCCATATCAAATAGAAATTCTTACTACCAATCACCTAAGAAGTTAGGGACTGGGTTTTTATTTTTTTGTCATCACATCGATGACCTCTTTTATGAACTGAATCACCTGATCTGTAAAATACAAACCATACAAAACATATGAACCTTAGCTGCATACAAAGACTATGCAGTAGCTGCTATTCCCACAGTGAATGAACTGGACAACCTTAGTCCAGTGAAGGAAATGGTACTCACACCAGGATCAGATTTGGACTGCTATTTTGCAGATGCTTCTACCTTATATCAAAGGAACAAGGCACTCCCTGGGGAAACAGGTACCAGGTTTTAAAAAATAACCTATTCCATATCTCCTCTCTGCCCTAAAATAATGAAAATACAAAGTTTTGTTCACACAAGTGCTAAATTGGTTGTTAATCTAGTAGTCACACACAAAATGGCATGTTTTGCATATGCTCATGCATTTGCAAATACAAGCTTCTAACAACATCTCATCAGTAGTAACCTATGGCAGAGGCAATCAAATGAGACAACCCCAAATTCAACTGCATCCTTGGAAATAAGAAGCAGTTGAG